TCCTCCTGGAGCTATAAGCTGCCCCTCCTCATAAAGGTTTCTTACCATTTTCTCTCTAATTCAAGCAAGCAGCAGGTCTTCAGGAATAATAACTCATATTTTTGGATGTCTACAGAAAAATTTAAAAAGAAATTCAAAAGACTTTAAATAAAGATACACACTCTCTACTCTAAATTGCTTGAAATGACTATCATCAAGGATCTCTAGCTCTTATGCCCAGCTTTAGATGGATGGCTCTAACATAGCTGGCTTTTTGTGGGCGGATCCTCAGCATTTCTTTGAAACCCTTTCAAGCCTCAGTTCCAGAGCTTCATAACCAAAGCACACACAAACACATGCATTTATAGTAATCTTAGCTTTTCTTTGAACCTGCGTTCTCTTTGTGACTGTTGCAACCAGTAGCTTATAAGTATATGTTCTAGCATCTTGATTAGGTCTGCGCTGGGCTTATCTTTGGAAGAAGAGATTTAGGATTCTGCATTGGTGCCTTATGTTGACAAAAATTAGTCATAATGATGCAAGTGTCCTTTCACTCCATAATAAAATCTCAGACATCCTAATACTACAGCAGAACTGTATTCTCCACTTAACACATGCAATGGTGGCAATCTTTACCGTATGTTTTGCATACTAATGTATATATATAAGGGACTATTAGTTATCTGTGGCATATTATACATGGGGAAGACATCTGGAAAATAAAGTGGGCTATAAGGATACAGCTCTTTCATAATCGTGGCCTCAACCTCCATCAATTTTCAAAAAAAAAATTTAGGGATGACCAGTCTTGGCCTCTTACCACTGCTAACCTGATTCAGAATAGACTCGTGTGTTATTTTTCACTCGGTGACATTGCCAAAAAAAATTGCTGAAAAACATCTCTTCACGTTTCTATTTTTTGCACTACTTGCAGTTTGTAGGTCTCCTGATCAGATCCAAAGAGTACTCTGAAAATTTAATTAGATAGTAAGCTGACTGCAGATCAATTGCAAATTTGAAAGCAAGTTTTCACAAAACTCCCAATGCATGTAGTCAGCTCCAGCACGTTGACTTGGAGCAAACATAGTTTTTAGTCTATAATCAAGGAGAGCAGATCACTAGCTGGTAAATACTGATATTGCTCTAAAACAACTACAGTGAAGAGAAGAGGAATGCTCAAAGAGAGCTAACTTTTGCACCATGGTACAAAGCCTCAATAACCTTAAGAGATATCACCATAATAATCTTAGTCTTTCAGTAAACTGACGACAGGTTTGTGATAGCATCTGGAAAATACATTCACATGTTCATCCTTTGATTTTAGTAGAAACATGCTGATTTACACTAGCAAGAAGTATGGTGCAAGTTTAAAAGCTGAACTACAATCATGTGTAGTATTAGCTTTTGAGTCTATCGGAACTAGTTCTGCAGTAACTTTTCTGTATTTGCATATTTTGGACTAGATGTACAGGAAAGCCCTGATCATCTTCAAGAAGCAGAGCACAAAGGGTGAAGCAGCCTGGTGTTCTCCCCGTGTGCGTCCTAACCATGGTTTGAAAGAAACGGAGCTCATGGCAGGGCTATGGGTTGTATTTGCTTAAGCCATAAGAATGCTAGGCTAGGATTCTTATGCAATTGCACTACTGTACTCAGACACTGACATGAATTTAAATGAGGTAAGTATAAATCAGGCTTAGTGTAAGGAGAGGCAAACAATTATTTCAACAGAGTTGTGGCAACATCATAGTTACCCTGAAGAATGTGCAAAGTACAAAGTATACCTTGCTTAAACTGAATAAATTCCAGTATGTGTAGACCTTTCCTGAAAGCCAAAACTTGCTAATTCTATTATTTATAAGAGTCAACTCCCATAAGTATAAAAGAACACATTTTACGTCAAGTAAAATGAATCCTGAATAGAGAAGGGAATTTTAAAAATGAGTAGCACCTAACTGTGCGTGAACTGTGAAATGTATTTGAAAATTAATTTTTTATTTCCTCTTGTCGTTTCTGATCTTGAGTGCACTTGTAACCGTCTTGTACCCAACACTTCTGGCATATATGGCAGGCCAGTGATGCAGACTGCAATCTTGCTAAATTTACTTCTCCTCCTTCCTCTCTCCCTTCCCCCTTGCATATTTATACAAACCTTTTACTGGAATAATTGCCTTTCACTGGTAAAAAGCTGGGTAGAATTTTCTTAATCATCCTTCTCTGATGAAGCACTTGTGACTGGTTCTGAGCTCTCCTAATCTTCCATTTTTGCACACTGTGGGAAGTAATTGCATCATCTAGTCTAACTCTGTGGCTTTACAGTATAGCTAAAGCCATTTTATAGCCAGCTGCTACCAGCAAGTGTGATCCTGCCCTCATTCACCTCTTCTCAATAGGATTTTCAGCACTCTTTCTGCTGCCATTAGTGGTCATCTGATCTCACAGCAAGCTGGTTCAGAAAGCTAAACTAGAAGAAAGGTAATTACTTTTTTTCTTTTCTTTTTCCTAAAAGGTTGATTCTCTGCTGGTTAAACACAATAATCGTGGTGTCATTCAATTAGATCATTCCTAGGGAGGAGCTGGAAGCACATGGCCCAACCTGGAGCTGCAGGAGGGGATAGATGGGACTGTCCCTGGCAACAGCCAGATATTAACTTGGCTTGGCTGTGTCACAAGCAGCACTTTCAAGTTCCTAAATTAGCTTGGACTACTCCAACCATTAAAGTGGAATTTCAAAAAATATGCTTTGAACTCCCATTAAATACCTTTAAATATTCAAACATTTAAATATTTGGGTGACCTGAACTGCTTCTGAGGGGCTCCAATCTAGAGAAAATGGTTTACTCGTTCACGTACCATGTCTAATGGCCTGAGCACCCTCACTGGGTCTAGGGAAATATCACAATGTCTGAGTACACAGTAGCATTTTGGTTTGGAGCACTTCTGTTGTTTTGAAGCCCATTTCCCAGTTGTCCCAATTCCTTTTTGTTGGTTCAGTTCAGGTATAGGTATCTTTACATGTTATGTTAATGATAATTTTTTTCGTCGTGAATAAAGGTGATTATTCCTTTGAATATAGTTTCAGGTTTTTGGTAAGTTCATGTTCAGGTTTTTTGTAAGAAGTGTCATCTGTCCAAACCAGATCTGTTGTAGCACATTCCATTGGTTGCATGAACACTATCTCATGGATGAGTTTTGTCCAGTGATTTAATATCCATTAGGAAATGTTTAAATGAAGAAATACTGATCTTATAGGAATAAATTGCTCTAAAAGACTATAAATACACAGAACAACAGGTAGAGAAAAGAATAGCTCAAGTGACTCAACATGTTAGTCTTAAGTTCTTTGTATTCAATTTCAAATGACACTGTTTCACTTTTTAATTTCAGTTATTACTGTGATAATGGCATTCAGACTGTCAATGCAGCATGACAATTACAGTAAAGAAATTATCTCTAAATTCTCAGAAGGAATTTCATCATTCAGTGTAACACGTACAATAGTTCCTGTCAACATAAGGAGAAACCATTGCTTTTATTAAAGGGACCTGGTAAATACTACCTACCACGTTAACCAATAAACCTTGTCTCAGCAAATCAGCTCTTTATTAATGTCAGCTTGCTGCTGTTATCAGTAGACCAGCTATTATAATTTTAAATCTTCTTTGAGGGAAGAAGTAACTTAAAAATTCTAGTGAGTGCAGGGCAGTTTCCTAGATTCACAGTAAGCAGATCAGGTAAAGCCCTCTCAGATGCAGATTTACTGGGGAAGAACAGAAAGAATATAAATTCTACCACTTGCTTCTGACTTCTCTGCCATGGGACTAGGACCCTATATGCTTCCACTGCCTACCACAAGTTTCTCTGAACTCCCTGCATTTGATGCACAGAGTTGGGAAGCTGGAGAAAACCTGTACTGCTCTGCAGAGTCCAAGGCTTCTCCTCATCTTCTGCACCTCATTGCTGCCCTGTCCCACCAGGTGATGCCCTAGCAATATGTGCCTGTTTTGAGATAAGGCTTAATGTGAGTGAAGACCACGCTTCTCCTGCAGTGTAGATACAATTTAAGACAATTGATGTGCTGCTGGAGGTCCTCCTCCTAATTATAACAAAAAGCAATATGTTCTTATTCCCACTGCTGCTCCTCATTGTGATCCTTGATATAATTAATCATATTGTTACCTGCCTCCAAAAAACCTAAGTAATGAACAAAAATGTTCGGTATTTGATAAGGGTTTTTTTTTTTAGGGGGTTTAATCTCTGACTGAATGTACAGGTACTTTACAGGTAAATCTTTCTTTATTCCTGAAGCCTTCATTGTCAGGGCTTCCCTGGGCATAGCTTTTTTATCCTTACTGTTGTATATCCAGATGAACTTATTGGCTGATACTATATAAATTGTGTAGAATGAAGTGAAATCAGGATGCAGTTGATATACATCTCTGCATTTCCTTCATGCCAGAAAGCTGTTTCCTGCACAATTGCCTGCATTGCTGAGGCCTTTGCCAAAACTGACAGCTGTATGTCAAAAAAACTGGAGTAATTCTGGTAGGAATAGAAAAATATTCTGAAAAAAAGCCTCTTTTAGAACATTTCCTTGTTTAGAGTGTTAATTTTAATCCATTCTGGGACTTGGTCCAGTGAGACATTCTGTTAGTCTAATGCAAATCCAGGATGGCTCTAGTATATAGTGCCTTCCTGGTTTTTAAGTTCAATTTGTTCTTAGGAGACATAGAATCATAAGCTGAGGGATCTCAAGAGGTCATTTTGGCCTTGTCCAAGCCTCACGTGAGGATGAGCTATGCTTGTACCAGTCCTGATAGAAATGTTCTTCTTGGTCTTGATGACTCATGGTGGTGTTGATTTCTCAGTTTACGCTGACAGTGTATTCCAGGCTTCCACTATACTTACTGCTTCCACTATACTTTTCCTAAGGTCAAACTTAAATATTCCTTGTTGCAATTCATACTCATTGCTTTTTGCTCTGTCCTCCATAGGCATCTCAAATGGCTCTAGACCACCCTGTACAGATATCTGAATGGAAGCCAGTATTCCAGACGAGACCTGGATTGGAGCACTGCATCACGTGTCAGGTGAGCTGTTCCTATTAATAGATCCTAATGCAGCATTTACCTTTTATTGAAACAGCATGGCATTGTTAATTCATGTTCAGTTTGTGGTCCGCAGCATCCCTGAGATCCTTTTTTCCAGAATTCATTCACATTGTTTTGTTTCCTGTTCTTTATTTGCGTAGTTGACTATTCCTGCCTAAATGTCTCTTACACCAATGAAGTGACACACCCTGGGACACATTGCAGCAGTATGTCAGATTAGCAATGCAAGTTAAGAGCATTTCTCCTTGGTTCTCCAGTCATAGCTGTCAGCTTCATTTTCATTTCATGGGGAGGTAAAGTCTATATTCTCATAGTCAGAGCTTTAGGAAGGTAAAATGTGTTTGTTTTGCCACTTACTGGAGGTAAATTTGCAAACTGCAAATCAAGACAGTTGTACCCATGGAAACATCACTTAAACGTATGGGTCCGCAGTTTCTTCTCTAGCCCTCTGATTAGGATTTGGCCGTCCTGTAGACCACATCTCTCTAGTTGAAAAATAAATAAGTGGGAAAATTCATTCTATTCCAAGACAGTCTGCGAATACAAATGACACTTGTAGAGTTTCTTAGTTGATTTCATCACAGCTTAAAATACATCTGAACTAGACGACATTTTGTTAGTTCACTATTTAAAGAGTAGTTTAGAATTTCCGAAGTGGGCTGATTTTTCATATCCTTTATTGAGCTAAACTGTCACAAGAATTGGGCTAGTAGTAAGCAGCATTGTTTGGACAATTTCAGAAACTATTTAGTCAATGAGTGTGGCACCTTCTTTGCAACAGTGCTTGAACAGCAACACTGCAATCCAATATTCACCATATAAACTGATATAGATACCGCTCTTTGTTTCTGCTTTGCTAACAAGCAAACTGTTAAGAGGTCGTGAGCTGGAAAAATACCTGACCAGACTTAGCTGATCTGAATTCTATTTGCAATTCGGATACTAGTTTGTGATCTTGTTCAACACATTTTGTCTCTGTTCCCCAGTTTTGCAGTTAGACAATGGTTACTGGCTTCCTGTTGGTAAAGTTCTCAGTTTGAGAGCAATGAGTGAAGCACTATTGCAAGTCTTCACAACTGTGTTTTTCAGTGAACACAAAATACCGTTTTTGTCCCTCAAGAGAGGAACGTGACTTTCAAAATTAAGTTTCTAGTGTAACATTTCAAATAAACTTATCAATTAAATGTTCTGCAGCATTCACTATTTTGCCAAATATTTCTGTCACTGAAAATATTTAGAAAAGTGAGTTCAGAAGAAATCTGAATGCTGCCAAAGATAATTCACTTTAAAATGTGAATGAAAGACTATATATATGTTGCATAATCAGCTATGAAATTGGCCACAGAATTTCAAATGTTTTGTACTTTCATCTAAAAACTTCTGGAAAGGAATTGATCTGCAAACTGTTTTCATGATTTCCTTATGCCTTTTTCTCTGTAGAAAGTACCAATTTTTAACTTCATGTGTCTGTCAAATCTGAATATAATTCAGAGGACAAAGAAAAGGCACTTCTGAGCCTGATGCTAATCCTTCAGCTACATACCAGACTACTGCAGATAGTAGCAGTATGAGATAACGTCAAAGAAAAGTTTACCAAGATCCTTTATTATGACAAAATATTTGGAGGTCAAAATCAGCTTCACCTATATTGAAGATCTTGATTTTTCACTATACTGCGATGATGTTCTCTGACGAGGCCATTTCAGGTTTGCCTTTTCATTGCTAAATGTCCTTTTGGCAGGAGAATTTCTACCATTATTCCTAAGCACGGTGTTGAAATAATCTTGCTTACTGTAAAAAGGAGAATGAATTTGAATTTTAATATGAAAAACCTATAGTGTGCACCAGCATAAAATTAAAGGTTTCTTTTACTCCTTTTGGTCCTCTAGGGTTTTTCAAGAGACTGGTATCATTCTAACATTAATTGCCTTCTGTATTTCCTATGTACATTATGATTAGGATTTATAGTTATAATAATTTCATTAGAGAATCAGTCTCATATAGCTCAATGATTTGATCAGATCTAAAGCTAATGGGAGGAAATACATTCTGAAACAAATGCAACCTGGAATTTTAGTGTTTTCAACTAAAAAAACCCAACCCACCGTAGACTATTTTGTTATACTGTTCACCTCAGTTTGCTACCATTATGCTTAACTGAGCAAAGATGCCGTTGGGTGTTTTATTATTGTGCAAAATCAGAAAATGACAATTTTATTAAAATATACAGTTCTAATTACAGTATGACATTAACAATCAGCAAAATCAGCAATTATGATTCCCATTAACATTAGATACAACTTTGGGGACCTAATTATGAAATGTAATGAACAGGAGAGAAGGCTGCCTGAGTTTATTGGTGGTATTATTATTATTACTGTTATTATTATTTGTAGATTTGTGTGCATACTTACTTAACCCAAAGAAGAAAAGATCAGTTAGAAACGAAATGACTAGACATGGCAGAAAAGATAAGATGAAAAGATACTTCTGCTCTCATATAGCTGTTTACAAAAGTTAAACAAAAACTAAACATGCAAACCTGGTTAAAAGGGAACATCTAAAGCTTGTTTTTGAATTGATGCAGTGATAATGCCAGAGGTAGTTTCCTAGAGAGTTGAGTCTTTGGATTATCTTTCTTTCCCTGTCATAGAAAAGGAACCTGCTGTTCTCCAAGTACGTAAACCTGATTACAGCGAACTAAAGGAACAGTTTATTGTTTACTGATTTCTGGCAAAATTTTCAGTCCTACTTCCCATTGCATTCACATGTCTTTTGAATATCTTGCCAAACTTATACCTGCCTCTTTAGGTGCCTAAATACCTTTAAAAGTTTAGCACAGAATAAAAGATGGTATCATTTTGTGCATATTTTCTTTTCTTCTTGTGTATTAGGGTATTAAATTCAGCTTAGTTGTCCATAGGGAAATTGTATGCAGCATGGATGATAAATACTAACAGAGACAATGATTGCAAAAAAGCAGAAATTATGCCTTTTTTTGGAGCAGAGCATTGTTTTTTCTTCTATTGACACAGTGTAGGTAGCAAAATGAATGGATTTTTACAAGAAGATATATATCTAAGGTTATCTCCTGTCCTCTCTCATTGGAGGTATTCATTAACCAATTCTAGCTTTCGTTCTCTAAATATTTCCTTGTGGAAGCTTTGACTTCCTGAGAAAAGGTCACATCCCCTTTTAGCTAGCATTAACACTGCCTAAAGAAAGGGAAATGTGAAGGAAATAAAACATCTTTCTCATTTACCTCTGTGGTCTTCACACTGTTCTCTTCACTCAAAATAGATCTCACTGGACATACGAGGGACTGCATTACACAATAACTGTAGTCTACGTAGGTCTCAGAATTGAGTTGTGGCTACATATGTATCAGGAAAAGTTTGTTACTTGTAAATTACTTCATTAAAGTTATCCTCATGTGTAAGTCAAAGTAGAATTTCTACATTTGTGTTAGGTCATACAGCTCAGCCGAAATTTTTTTGTCTTTGTTGCTACACAACAGAGAGAGGAACATATTGTTTAGATGTTTTCAAAGCTGAATTTTATGCACTAATCTTTGGGGTTAAGACTTATTTTTACAATAGTCTTACAGCTTTCTCTAGGAAACAGTGAAATTTTGAGGTTTTTTTGTAATTACCAGTGTTCACTCTTGGTGGCTTCTCATTATTCAAGCTTTGTATATTTCAGATTTTGATAGCACGTGGCTAAAGAAGAAATTATAAAGCCGACTTCAGAATCAGTTCGCAATATCTGTAGATATTTATTCCAGTTTACACTAGAAATATCTAAATATTTCTCCACATTTCATTTACCCTAATTAATTCATAAATCCTATAATAAAAGGTGAGAGAGAAAACTTGGAGCTAAAGCTACTATTACTTCTTGTCCTAAAAGATAGCAAAATATGTTGCTCCAGTCAGATTGTCTAGGCATTAATGGGCATTAATCTCTTGTTTAATTCTGCCTCTCCTCTTGTTAAAATGCTATCCAAAACTGCTGCGTAATACAAATGAGATCAAGTTTTAGGTCATGAAAGGTTGCTAATTGCTCTCTTTCTAAGAAATTCTTTCATGTCAGTTGTATGGTAAGAACAAAATAAACCAAGACTTTGATTGCATCTTTGTTAGGACTTTCAGATTTTCAGAGACCTAAAGGGAGGTAGTTGTCCAGCTGTTATCAGAAGTTGCCATGAGTAGGATCCCTGCCCCCCTAGTTCCCTTTGGAAGACATTGCCTTAATGTTTTGAAGTGAATATGATATCTATATGATCTACAAACTATGTACTCGCTTCACACATTTTCTGCTTGCTTCTAAAGAAGTCATGCCACCTTTAAATATATTCCTAAGGCTTGTTTGAATTAAGGAATGTAAATCAATATAATCTCAAGTTGTCTTTATTTGCACAAGAATCTAAGAGATTTCTTGTGATGGAGAGAAAGTTCAACAGACAATGGGCACGTTTAATAGCAGGTGGTATTTGCATACTTTTACCATGTCTTCACTATGTTGGCAGATTTTATTGTGTCGAAAAGGTCACTGGGCTCAAATGAGTGGGTAATAAGGACAGAAGAGCTGACTGTGAGAATCCGACGTGTTTGACAGCAGCAGATTTGGGTGCTCTTGAAAAGGCTGATATTGACTAATGCTTCTAGGGTGTGACTTTTACCCTAAAGAGGAGAGTGGTCTTGGAAGCCATCTCCATCTGTAATGGAAGAACATGCATGAAAGTGGAGTTCTAAAGGGGTGACAAAGGTTGTGAGGCAAAGCAGAAAAGACTGATATGTTGAAGTGTACGGTGAGAAAGAGAGGGCCTGGTGTAGCTACACGTGTTAGAGCTATGAAAAGAATAAAGTTAATGCACAGTTCATTTTCCAGTTCAGCTAAGTAGCTTAGGCGTCTTAATTCCCTTTTCAGAAGTGACTTGGGTGTCTGAGCGTGATTTTTACTCTGAGGGTTAGGACTCA